CCCCCCCCCCCCCCCCCCCCCCGCCCCGCCCCCCACAACATTTTAGGTCAATTTTAGCTCCCTCAAACGACCTTCACTTAAATAATACGCTGCTTTGTAGGCCATGTCCTCACTCAAAACGCAAAGATGTTCTAACCACTTTATCCTCCTCAGGTCACATAGAGCAGGCCACATTGTAACACCCAAAGTACCCTTATTACATTACCCAGCCAGGGTGAGAGGCTGTGGGAATGACTCTAACACCTGAAGCTAACTATACTTTAACACGAGAAGCTAAATTAAAATTACTTCTCTTAGGTATTAAATTCTGCTAACTCTTTCAGTCGTCTAGTTCCAGTTGCTCGTGACTCAGTAGATTGGGAAAAAGTGAAGTTGGCTTATCAACCATATTTTAAGATATACCACTTGGCAAGCACAGTTAGCTTCATAAATATTTGAGAATAGGTGAAATTAATGACAATTCGCGGAAAATTAACAAGAAATTTGATAAATTGCCTCCCACACGAGTTGGTACATATTCATTCGTGTTTCGAAGGTAAATTGCATAAAAAATAACCACTTTATGGCGCTTTCAATAGATTTCTCGACATATTATTTTTTAATTTTGTGATTTAAGTTGGCAATTAGAGGTTCAGTGCTTTTATCGAAGAACACTCAACAAGCAGAATGATTAACCAGAACGTTCAAGACTTCCAAATACATAAGTTGTAGAATGGAAATTTCGCACCAGTTGGATTACGCAATAGCATTTTCCCAAAATTGTGTATTGCAATCCTTCTTTCAATAGATAAAAAAGCAAACTGTGGGACACGTTATCGCTATGTGCGCCATCGTATGCCTGCATATCTGCTCGCCAGGATTTGGAGGTGCGGCCGTACAACTCTGTGTGCAGCGAGCGTACAAACAGGTGCGGCCTTACAACTCTGTGTGCAGCGACTGTACAAACAGTGATCATAATCAACCTCTGTTTAACCTAATCCCCCATCCTGATCATGAATAGCTCCATGCGTGTACACTTGATCCCTCCTGATCATGAGTAGCTCCATGCGTGTACACTTGATCCTGATATACGTACTGAATAAACGTATTCCGTGCTACACGTCTGCTTCCCTACGTCCTGAATAAACGTGCTCCGTGCTACACGTCTGTTTGCCCGTATCGAATAAACGTATTCCTTGCTACACGTCTGTTTTCCGCTACTGAATAAATGTTCCGTGCTACACGTCTGTATCCTCTGTAGAATAAACGTGCTCCGTGCTAAACATCTGTTTCCTTTATATGCAATATACGTACCGAATAAACGCATTTCGTGCTACACGTCAGTTTCCCTTATAGCTGGACTATAGCTTAGCTTGTTCTGGGAGTCTAGCTAGATGTTGGAGAATTCTCCGTGCTACTCGTCTGTTTCCTTTATAGCTGGGCTATGGTTTAGCTGGTTCTGGGAGTCTAGCTAGATGTAGGAGAATCTCCTAGCTGGTTCTGGGAGTCTAGCTAGATGTAGGAGGATCTATACCATAGAGATTTCTGAGTCAGTCAGGCTTTAATAAAGTAGCAATCCGCTACAAAACTTATATTAATATTGTGTGAAGTTAGAATTTCATTACTTTCTTAGTAAACTTTTATTTTATATAGTGAATTACTTTCCTTGTATTTAAATAGTCACTCATTTTGCATTTACGGTACATAATGTCATTTAAGCTTAATTGCTGTATTATTGTAAACTTCGATTACTGCGCAAAAAAAGTAACAGGATCAATTAATAATGGAATTAATTGGCATAATCGACAAAATCACTGGAATCAACAAATTTGAAGCAATTAAGCGATTAGTGGATTATTTTAAATTCCCAACCATATGTGCGCAATAATTGCAAAAAAGGTTTAGATATGTCTTTGGAAAATTAAACTTATGGATTAGTAGATTGTTAAGCGTGATGCAAATATGTCTCTATCCGAGAACTCAATATGCAGATTTCTTGTTTAAGCATAGTGGAAACATTTTGGCACAAATGCAAGAACACAGGGCTGTGAAGCAAGTTATGAAAAGGTGGAGGGGGGGGGGTATTGATTTAGGGGGAACGGGAACAAGCATTCGGGCAGGGAGGAGAAAGGAAAGCGTTTGACATTCGATCGAGTGTTCATATAATTACCGACGTCATCTCTTTTGTTATATTCTATCAGGTGCAAATATTGACTCCCTTTATTAGGAAATAATTTTTACTGACTTTTAATTAAATAGATAAATGATATTTTTGGCTTCAACTGCGCCTAGCATAGGGTGAGGGAGTGGTCTAACTAAGTCCTTACGTATGAATATCTTGTAGATAAGAATAAGTTAATATGTAATGCTATAACGATCCATAAGGGGTTTTTTTTAAATGAACCCACAAGCATAAATGGTAAAAGGCTGAAGATAAACCGGAATCTTGCTCACGGAACATGGCTTACATCTGACCTCTACGCACCAGGTTCCCCATTGGCTAACGTCGTCATTTTGACCTTCTAATTTCTCAGTAGTAGCAAACTTGGTGATTTACGTTCTCTCTTTCATAAGCTTCTCCCAATATGCACAGCAGATACACTATTTATACTCCAAATTCTTCGTTTCTCATTTCTTTCCATTGTCTAATTCGGTTCTTGGTTTTTACTTTAGAAAGATCATTTTGGGGTTATTTTGGGATTTTGGGCAATGCTAGGTTACATAGGTGGAATTTAAAGACACATTAATTGGCAATGGCACTTTTGAGAAGTCCATAATCAGTGATGCTTGCCTAACGCACCAACACCTCAAATTCAGATGTGACTAGTTTCAATGTCATTTTTCAATAAAATTTATTCATAAATATGGTTAGGAAGTCATAGTTGACAGTTTATAAGTAAATTTGATGCACCTTTTAAAATGACCGGTGAAGTCGGGCACTCGATTTAAGGAAAGGAAATGAGCTCTAAATTAAAAAACTAAAATTAAACGACCTTGAAACCTGCTTCATTAATTACTAAGAGGTGCCAAAGATAAGAATGTGTAATAATTGGTTATGGGCTTAAAGGGTTCAAAAAGTGTTGATCTTAAACCTACTACTACTATGACCTTGAACCAGAGTTGAATGCACTTTTAAATTTAATTTGTGTTTGAAATAAAAATGAGGTAACTATGTATATGGTAACCTTTTGAAATAACCCACCAAGATATAGAAATTAAATTTAAAATATGCACACAGACAATACCTCGATAAGACTTGAATCATTAATTATTTGGGCCATAATTAATTATCTAAGTTTATTCTCAACTGCCTAGTTCTATCGATTTACCTATTTGAAGGAATTCGGCTATTATCAGAAGTAGGCAAATTAACTTCAAATTAAATTCAATACTTTGTCTTTCCATATTATTTTTAAAATGGGATAATGAAGTCATACTAATTGGAAGGAAACATGGCGGAAAGAAGTCCTATTCACCTATCGCCTAAGAGTTCCCCTAGAACCCTACTCAGAAGTTGCGTGCGTAAGGAACTACCACTTGAGCACGAGGGATAGCTTTATAGTACATTATGTAGAGGTTCGTCAATTCAATGAAATTATGGCTACTCACAATTAGATGATCGCACTCAGTCGTAAAGGAACACCAAAGCTTCACTAATGGCCGGATTTGTCCCGCAAATTGGCTTATGCATTGCATAGCTTTCATTTAAGTACTTGAATGCGATTAATTCAGTGTACCGCTTTCCATCACTTGAAAATGGCACCACGGAAGTAGTACTGCGGAGGAAAATTTATGCCAAAACTTTAAAGTTAGTCTATTTATAGGTAATTGGGGTGTGGAATAGTATTACCTCCACTTGATCCACCCTCGGTAACGTATACTCATATGGTAAAAGGTCTATAAACTGACAGTTGACTTCTGACATCAAACTACCATGACCCCCCCCCCGTATGTCTTATTTCACCACTTCCACAGCACTCATCTTACCTTATCTCTGACTTTGTGTCTGTCTGTCTCTTTTACATCTGAAAATCACTCTCATATTTCTCCTCTCGACTTGTTGTGCCTTCGATGTTCCACCCCTCTGTGAAGCCCGAAGTCAGCTAATGGGCTAATGATAACAATCAAAGTGTCTGTCATTTGAAATAAATAAATGTATAGGTAACTCACCTGCCATTCCCTTCATGATGAAGATTTTCCAGGTAGAAATGAGCATATTTATGCATAAAATGCCGATTTCAGGGGTTAAATCTACAACGAAAGAAGGATATGAGAATGTATCACAGATATAGAGGCTAATAACAAAATAAATGATCAAGTCAGTCCTGAGCCATTCTATTTGTCTTCGACTTATGATATTGTGTTTTTTGGGGACGATATGGTACTTCTCACGCAGCATATCTCCTGGGACCGTATCGCAGCCCATTCGGACGTTAATAACGACGAAGGTGGGAAAGTGTGGAAGATCAAAAGATTTTCTACGACTGGAATCCCGGGTGTCACTGGTTACCAAAGACGTTCCTGCTTAACTACCAAACCAAATAGAATTTGGCCACAAGCAAGCCTGAAATCGATTAAAATGCCAAAAAGGATGCTTCGCATATTCCGGAAAATGCGTCATTATTTACCCGGATAATTGTACACATAGCTATATTAAAATTGTTTATATGGCTCTACTTGATCTAATCTTCTCCATCATCTACAAATCAATTTTAAATTCCCTTCTGATTGAAAGTTCCTGCTTTGAAGTTAAGGTACACTTCCAAGCGATTTTCGAATTCAAACGCTTTTTGGAATCGCTTTTCTCTTGGAATTTACTTCATTGGTCGGAATGGGTGCTAATGGATGGGGGGAGGGTGAGGTCAGGCGAATATGGAGCAGATTTAATTCTTGATTATTTTTGGAAGGCCATTAATGCTTTGTGTGTATGGCCGCTTTTAACTTCTGCTGACAAAAATTGTTATGTCCATCTTTAGATATTGGAAATCGATTACTCTATGCACATCTCAATGAATGAATAAAAGTTTTCGAAGGGCCAATCCTGTCATGGCTTCGTGGATTGAATGAAAGCTTGATTTTTGGGGAGGGGGCAATTGTTGACCCGCTAGCGTTCTCACGAACGAACCATTTTCCCCTCCGATAACGATGCAGTGTAAAAATGGTCCCTCCTTCCAATTGAGCCATTTTAATTGACCTATTCAAGCTTTAAGCATGATAGTGCAAGTGGCCATGAAGATACGAGTTTCTGTGCGGATTTGATTCAACCAGGGGTTTTAATATGTCATCATGAACTTTTAGAGGTCGTCTTGATTCTGACTCATCGGTTAAATCCCAATTTTCTAATCTAGATCTTTCAAATCTAAATTGACATTGGGGGATAATAGTCACTAAACCACATATTCCACCAATGGCTTTGATAGGCGTTGAAATCCTGATGAAGATAAACGGCATGCAACGCTTGGCGTGTCCTCCGTCAGGTTAGGCGTTGTAAATTTGCCATAGCACTGAAACCTATTACTTATAAATAACATTAATATTGCACAAATTACATCTGCTTAGATGACGCTTAATGACAGTGGATTTCATTAATTCGAGATTGATCTCTGGAGAAACATTGACGTGTTCGCAAGCGACCACAAGGCATCTTCCTACTATTTCTACCATAGCTCAGACATTCTGGGCCCTATTTTTTCTTGATTTGCCTCATCTGGTTAAACAAAGATCCAGACAGGTCCCATGGAGTGCGCTTTTCTTAAATATGCAATACCCTTGCGTTTGGTGGGTAGTAAAGAAAATGAGAGATATCATTGAAATACGTTTAACGGGAGTACAAATCCGTCGTACTCAAGTCCCGGTGTCTTGGGGAAGTTTTTCCTGAATGCAACGGCCGGACGCCTTCAATTTTAAACGATCCTTATTATTGTAATTTCAAATCTTAGTGTGAATGAAAATGCAACTAAGATATTTTCAACTGTTCCCTTATATCAACGCATTAATTCATGTGAGCGACTGGTAATTCAGTTGAGATTGAGCATTTACCATCATATTCACTTATCCTCAATGTGAAAAACTGAAGTGTTCAGTAAAGAACTCTTAAAGTGTACTATTTTAGTGGATTGACGATCGAGTACTTTATTGGCCGCGTTAAAACGGCCTTATTTGGCCTTCAAGTTGGCTTAGGTCATTAACTTGTAATTTAATTATCTTTGGATTCGGGAAAACCTTATGCGAAAAAATTACTATAGGAAATTTTATTCCAAATGTTATGAAAGTCAGTAGATTTGGTGCCAATTTCATCTTTCGTTATTTTTCACCTGTGTGTGATCACGTTTTGGAAAACATGTTAACATCACCCGTCCAAGCAAAAGGTGTTTCTCGTTATCAACCACACTTCTGATGATAAAAAGCAAAAGGTGCATTTGAAGCTAAGGAGGCATAACTCTTCGTAATTGTCTACGTTTTCACAATGACCAAATATCATGCTCAAAATGAGAATGTAGAGCAGTGAGTGTGAAAATCGGAGCACTGAGGGGAATTCGAGAGAAAAAGGGCGAGAAAAAAACCAGTGGAAAGTGTTCGAGAACCAGGGAATAGTATCGAGCACTTAAAGCTGATTGGTGCAATATAGAAGGAAATAAATTGAGTCACAGCGCGAGACGGAGGAGAGTGAAGATGGGTTTGTTGTAAAGAGGGATAAAATACGGTGATCGCATTGGGGTTACACTAGCATTCGCGAGCATAAAAAATTGAATATAGAAAACTATGTTTGCAAATAACTCGGCGTAAAAAATTGAGAAACATCTTTCCTTGCAATCTGACTTGTGGATTCCAGCCTTCTGGGTTAATGGAAGAGAAAATTTTCCTTTAATTAATCAGCTGGTCATTTGTTACTGGATATCGTGATTGAGAATTTGCTCGCTAATTCAGGCACTAAATCGCAAAATGCTCATTTCAAAACGCGAAATAATGATATTTTCACTTATTAAATTGAAGGCTGGAAGAATTCAAACATCAAATCAAGTGTAGTTTCACTGAGTTCTCGATCTAATCGACCCCCCCCCCCCCCACCACACCACATTGATTATTCCCTATTGTTCTGTTTACTGTTACGACAGAGTTAAAACTACGCATTTTATTTTGTTACAAAATACCAAAATTTTGATTCCACTATCAGAGACGGCTTTAAGGGTGATTTCTCAATTCACTTAAAATCTCTCGAGAATGTTTCAATAGTAAAGCAACCTTACAAAGACGGCCTTTTCAAGACGATTTCAAAATGATCCCAAGCAGTATTCAGAATAACCAAAATGTTCTAGCCTTTATACCTCGGATCACATTAGGATAAAATTTACCACGTGATGTTTCTCGCTTCTTTGTAAAAGTACGAGGGCTGGCCTTAGCACCACTTTACCATAGAAATGATAGCCTAATAACATTATCGGTGATAAGTTTACAAAATGACATTGTAGATATTTGTCCGATAGAATAAAAGGGATTTGAAGATATTCTGATGGGGTGGTAGAACTTCCAACCATAGGTCGGTATTTGTTGATTGATATTCAATATTTTTATTTTTGCTTGGAATATATTCGCTTTAACCATGTCTATTGGTGCCTTTGAAAATGAAACAAATTGGGACGTTTAATCTAGGCAAAGTATCCAAGCACTTGGAAAGAGAAAGAAACAGCCCAGAAATGAAAGCAAGATTGACAACTCGCCATTTAAGGATTATAATCCACTGTATCACAGCCTAATGTTGCCTTGCTTAACTTTCAGAAATTCATTAATTCAAAAGCTGATGGCCAGATTTATTTCACTTGCCTCGTGGAATATCTAATTTCCAGTTTACTGTATATTGCTAACTCAATAAAAATCATTCCCTAGTGTGGTAGCATACTAATGATGCATACCACTTAGTGGGGGAATGAAAGCTTGAAGAAAATGGTAGTGACGAGGACGGAGGGGCATAGAGAGAAGGGGGGGGGAAGTATCCAAGATAGGATGGGAGCCAATGCAGTCAGGACATTAAAGTTATTTATTTATTTATTTATATCAAATGGCGGGCATCTTGATAGTTATCATTAGCCTTTTAGTTGGCTTCAGGCTTCACAGAGGAGAAGAAACGCCAAAATGAAAAAAGTCGAGAGGGAGTGGGGACAGAAGAGTGATTCAAGAATGTAAAAGAGACAGACAGACACAAAGGCATAAAAAGGTAATAGGAGTACTGTGAAAGTGGTCGATGGGGTGATGGTAGTTTGAAGTGAGAAGTCAACTGCCAGTTAATAGGCTTTTTTGCCGTATGAGTATACGTTGCCCAGGGAGCCTCGCGTGGAGGTAAGTCTATCGCACACCCCAGGACATTAAAGTTGAATTCTGACCACGTTGTGTTACAAGAAATTGTGGTTATTGGGTAGTCTTCGAATGGTTCATTTTATTGTTTATCAAAGGGTATTCAAGGCATTGAGGCTAGTTGATTAAACGGATTCGCTGGTCATACCACCTCATCGCATTTGCATTTCCTTGTGACCACAAATCACATACTCTTCTTATATTATGCTAGCTTTATAGACGTAGGAATTGCCAATTACCTATTCATTACTTATTTTCAAGCATGCATTTATGAAATTTTCTTTCTGCACTTTAAACTTCAAACAGTATCCACTAGTCCAACAAGTCGAAGGAGTATTGGTAGGTGGGGTGTGGTGGTTAAACATAGAAATCTCATGCGCACTTTGACGGTCCGGGAGGTGTGGCCCTGCTATTGGCTCCGTGGTTAATAAATGAAGTTGTGAGCATTAAGACACAACGGTAGTCTCCGCTTTACTTACATAGAGCCACTTGTATTTGAATAACTACACTTGTGCCAGCATTTCATACAACTGGAATAGATTTCATTCGCGCCGTACTTTATGTCTCCTCGATACTGTTGAAGTAGTTCAGCTAATTTTGGGAGCAATCACATACCAGGGGATTTTGTCAGGTAGAATTGTTGAGGTTTACTCCTGGCTTATCTTCATAGCATCCCTTACAGGTGGAATAGAGTTCAAAGAACTAATTTATCTCTACTCGTTCTTCTTCTTCTTTAATTCGAATTTAATCGATATGAGCATATTTTAAAACGCCACTACTACTACTCTGGATTACACCCATCCTACTAGCGCGCTTCGTCGTTAAAGGTACAACTTAACTTACTAAATAAGGTCGTTGTGAAAAGAAGGCAAACTTTGACTTTAGCTTGACCTTATTTATCGATGACGAAATATTTCGTTGAAAATTTGGCGTGAATACACAATCAAGTTATTACCGATTTCACTAATTTCATTATGGGTTGTGACGTATTTTTCGAAGTTACTTTAAGCACCCCTTGTCAAATTAGAAGATCAATTTAATTTGGTTGCTTAAATGTTGACCTTTCTAATGGGCATCTGATAAGCTCTGTCGTAGTTATTTTACTGGCTGGAATAGAAAGTCCAAGTTTAAAATAATTTTGATCGTTTACTGATATAATCCACTAGGGCACAAGAATACACACAAGTTGAGCAAGCTATTTTTAGGAATTTAAAAGCATAATGCATTGAAAATAACTTAAACCTGATAGTAAAGGACTTAGAATATTCTAACGACTGTGGAAAATGA